CAGAGGAAACATGGACCTGGAACAATTTCAGAGACATGTGGCTGCCATTAAATTCAAAATCAATGAATTTATTCCTGAAACGATACAATTTCTTGGTTTCAACACGTGGTATGTGAATTAAATACAGGTTAATAAGCTTTGAAGAAAAAAACAATTAATTCTGTTATGTTTTACACAATTGTTCAACTTTCTTAGAATTGGGGTTGTGTTTTTTTCATCGTAAACTCAGCTTCTCTGAGGTTTGCTACGTTGTGGAACAATATTCAGGCCTGTTCAGTCCAGTACATCTTCGGGAGGATGAAGGAACATCAGCATGATCTCAGGGTTTAGTTCGAGAGACGTTCAGCACCCGGGGGAAGAACGTAGAACAGACGGCAGCTGACGTCGAACGTCTCAGCTTCATGGGAATGGCTTCTTGGTTGTCTACTCTTTAATATTCAAGTACGAGCAAACTGTACAACTGCATGCAACGAACAAGCGGCCCTACGGTACGCAGAACTAACACGCATCTAGTTCAGTGTTTTCTCGGGTTTTTTTTCTTTCTTCAATTTTCTGTAACGGTTTTACAAAAATGTGCATGCAGCTTGGTGCAAAAGTCAAGCTGGCCCCTCCGCCTCAGGTGGCGGTGGAAGGAGTCTGCAGACCGAGAGGATGAGCGTTGGCGCCCTGACTTTCACGTTCACAAAGATGGACGAGAAAACCGTGACCGATTCTTTTCTGCTTGCATGTGAAGGAGAAGTTCAGCCATATTGAAGTGAGGTTCTGTTGTAGCTTCTTGACTAGAGCTAATCAACTTATCAAACACACAAACGCCGCTCGCTCAGTGAATTTTACAGTTTGAACTGAAATTTGGTGTGGTAGTACTTTAGAGTCATTCTCAATATGTTTTCTGAGTGTTAACAAATTGTGGAAGGTCTTTGTTTCATGACATAAAAAAGGGGCAGGCGATATTTAATGTTCATTAAATTTATAACTGCAGTCAGTTTTAATCACTCTATTATTTACATCAAATTCTAAATTTTTACAAGCTTAAAACCAGTAAGACTAGTTGTACGTAGGTTTTCCAGGGCAACTAGAGGTTGCATCCATTTTTAAATACTTCTTATAAATTCACCACGTAACACAAGCTCGTCAGTGTAAAGGTTCAAATGTTAGCAGTTGCTTGAATTGCTGTGAAATTTAGAAAATTGTAGTTGTTTTAGGACGGGAAAATTCACATTAGATTTGGGTCTGTTTAGATTGTACTGATGATATAAAAACCAGTGACCAGTTCCATTGGACCCAGTGGATTCCTGCTGTCCCAAAGTAATTCCATTCTTTAAATTGTTAATGCGAATGCTGATTTTATTTTTTTTTTTACTTTTACGTTGAGGTTGGTTTTGTGTTACGCAGTTCATTTGTTGTAAATATGAAGAACGTCCAGACAGATGTGACTCCTCTTGGATGCTTCATACTCTCGTAAATGACCATAGAATTATGTATGAATGTACGGTAACTGGGTGGATTAGCGGTTAGCCCTGTGGCCACACAGAAAGAAGGTCTTGGGTTCAAGTCACATGATTGGTCTGGGGGCGTTCTGTGTGGAGTTTTCATATTCTCCGTTTGTGAGTGATTTCCTTCAGTCACCGGTTACTCTGGTTATTCTCATTTTCTCCGGATACTCCAGAAATTCCGGTTTTCTCTGGGAACTCTGGTCTTCTCCGGTTACTACGTTTTGCTACAAATACTCCGGGTTTCTCCAAATACTCTGATTATTCTGGTTTTCTCTGATTACTCCCATTTTTTTTTTTTTTTTTTTTTTGCTCTGCACTACTGTTTTATTGATCTTAATGTTTTACCTGTTTTATGTGTTTAAATGTTCTTGAATTTATGTGTACAACACTTTGTTGCAGCTGTGGTTGTTTTAGAGAGCTTTATAAATAAAGTATTATTATTATTAGTTTCTCCGGTTACTCTCATTTTCTCAGATTACTCTGGTTTTCTCTGGATATTCCAGAAACTCCAGTTTTCACCCGTAACTCTGGTTTTCTCCGGTTACTCCGATTTTCAATAAGTACTCTAGGTTTCTCCAGATATTCTGGTTATTCTGGTTTTCTCTGGTTACTCCCATTTTTTTTTTTGTTATGCACTACTGTTTTTATTGATCTTAATGATTTACCTGTTTTATTCTATTATGTGTTTAAATGTTCTTGAATTTATGTGTACAGCACTTTGTTGCAACTGTGGTTGTTTAAAGGGCTTTATAAATAAAGTATTACTATTATTATTTTCTCCGGTTACTCTGGTTTTCTCCGGTTACTCCGGTTTTCTCCGGATACTCCGCTAACTCCGGTTTTCTATGGATACTCCGTTTTTTCTGGTTTTCTCCAGTTAGATTTTCTCCCAGAGCAGCCTGAACTCACACAAATAAAACTCGTCTGGTTAAATAAAGATTCATGAAATAGACAAATGTTGATAGCAGTGTGAAGGTTTATAAAGTGGTGTTTGCACAAATCAAACTGAAATTCTGTTTATTAGGTTCGATTTAAAATTTTGTCTTTGCTGTGTTTGGATGTTAAATTTTATTTTTCCAAATTGAGGTGGGTCAAGAAATTATCAAAACATGTAAAATAAAAGTTGTTTTTTTTTGCACAGAACTCTGCTTCAATTCGGCCAAACTTTTCCTTTATCATCAAGACAAAAGATGAACTGAACTGACAGGATTTTTTTTTTAACTTTTAATAAAAATAACTACATGTTTATTTATCTATTTTTTTCAAAAAGTTAAATTTTTTTAGTAGTAAAAAAATCAAGCTTTTGTGCTTTTATTAAAAAAAGGTTAAACTAATGTTTGGATAAAAACTTTAAACGTGCTGGGGTGAGGGAAGGCACTCCCTCAGAAACGTGAAAAATTATACTGTCTTATCGGCTCTGGCGTATGTGAACATCTATTTTTATTTTTTATATATGTATATTTTTTACAGTAACACTACCCTTGTTGCATTTCAAAGTGACATACTGCAAACTTGATTTTTTTGGTCCAATTCCCAGGATGCCTAATATACATCTATACAAAGACAACTGGCCAGTTTGTTGACCAAGAATTAAATGAAGAAAACAACACTGACCTCAGTTTCTTGTGTAAAATTTAAGATCTTTGTGATGATTCACCATCTTGGCTTCGTTGCAGCTCTGTTTTTCCCTGATTTTGTTACACCTGAAAGCTAAGAGGGATAAAAGTGTTAAAATCTGACTTTTACAGGCTTCTCCTTTTTATAGGCAGCATTTGCTTTTAAATATTCATCAAATAAATTATCGTTTTACATACTTAAACATTTACAACCATCCACTCAAGGTGTTACATTTCCAGATGCCACTTTAGTTTTTTCTCCGAGGCAAATTGTCTAATTTAAATGTCTAAGTGTCTTTGTCTGGGCTTTAGGAATGTTTTTATGTTCAAGGAACATTTAATTTAAGGTAAATCGCATCATTCTTGCTGTAGACAGCAGTCAAAGCAGTTTCAGTTTGGAAACTCAGGGATAAATTCTCGTAAATTTAGACAGCATGGGATAAAATTAAACGTTATGCCGATGACACTCAGTTATAGTTATCTATGAAATCTGATTAATCCAATCATTTACTTAGTTTCAAGCTTGTTTTAAAGACATAAAAACTTGGGATTACTTGTAATTTTCTGCATTTAAAATAAAAAAAAAAGACAGAGGCTTTGGTTTTTGTTAAGAACCTTGATGTCATTTTTGGTCAGGGTGTGTTGTTCAACAACAATAGCACTAAAATTAATAATCAAGAAGAAAGCAGCTCATAAATACATTCAATTTGCTCAATTTAATATGTATGAATTAAACTACAGAGGGGTCTAAAGTTATAAATAACAAGCACTGGAATGCCATGAGTGAATGGTTGTAGACCTATTGGTTATAAATAAGGTTGGGACCGAGACGGTGTAGAGGTACGGCAGCCAACTTGGGACCAGAATGTTGCAGTTTGACTCCCCACCATGCCCACATCTCGAGTAGTCCTTGAGCAAGACACCTAATCCCTAATTACTCCCTGGGTGCTTAAATATCTGCCCACTGCTCCACCTGGGTGTATCCCACATGTGATGTGTTAAATGCAGAGAACTAATTTCGTCATTGTATGGGAACATACAACGATGACAACACATTAGCACATAATGATGTATACTGTTAGAAAATACTTATCTGTTAGGCCTGAAAGACTACATTTAGCATCTTTAACCATTCTTGTACTGTATTAACCCATTTATACTTTTGTTAAGAAAAAACAGAGCTAGAACGAAGCTGAAACAACGTGCCATTACAATCATCACCTGTTCCCTTCACAGACAGCTTGCAGACGTTTACTAAATTTTATATCTTTTTTTTTAAGATGTTTGTTTTTTTTTTCCCCTCCATGCACACAACAAACTGACAACATCATCATGAGCATTTTATGCACTGTAAAAAACATTTTGTGCCTGTAGTAACAAAGGGAAAAGAAATGCACAACAAAGGGTTCACTCCTAAAAGACTGGCCTGGAAGCAGCCACGGTAAACATGTTGAGACGCAGAGGGACCAGAGATCTAGGCACCAGAAGAAGGCCCTGTGCTTCCGGACTGAGTACCCACAGCAAGGGGTGGGGGGGCACCCTGCATGGGGACAGTGGTGCCGGTAGTCTGTTGGGTGTCTGCAGGAGGCTGCTGCAGAAAACACTGTGCCCCCAACAGGCAGGAAGGGGGAATTACCTCGGTCTCTAAGACGTACATTCCCGTGCTTACGTACATTTCTTTGCCATGTTGATTCACTTAAAAACAACCCTGTTTCATTTTGATGTGCCGACACTCGTAGTTATCGTTTTCCAATCAGAGAGCAAGAAAAAGAAGAACCACGAGGTTTTTCTTTGAATGGGAATGAAACACTGAAGTGTGACGCTCCCTACAACAGGCCAAAAGAACTGTGGTAGGAGTGATTGTCAGATTTCAACAAAGCTTTCTCCTCCTCGTGTCTGTTTCTGATTGTTGTTCTACACTTTCACTTTTTTTGCTTCTCGTTTCAAGAGTCCTTTTTGTTGTTTTGATTCCCCCTCAACGTACTACGTAGAACTTTTGGTCCACTAGGATCGGATTCCAGGTGGTCCGGGCGAGCTGTCAAGAGATGACTGGGAGGCTCTTCGCGTTAGGGAGGCGAGAGTCGGGTCCACCAAGGAGGATGGTGGGAACAACTTGTACCAGCCGATGACCGTGCTGGATAATTCCAACTCGTCCAACAGGATTTGTGCTACTCCCATGAAGCTTTTATGGTCCATGCGGCCATAGTCTCCCCAGACGATCACCTGAAGGACAAGAATTTACCTGTCAAGCAACTCTGTTGTGATTCTTTGTCAGGAAGAACAAACCTGATGCTCACCTGTAAGACTTTACCCTGCGGGCTCTCCTCAAACACCAGAGCTTGCTGGTACAGCGGGTCGAGCGTTTTCCGTGCAATCTTGGTTTTCTTTTTGGCTACGTAGGCTCCATTGTTCAGCAGGTAGACTTTGACGTACGGAGCTGAAGGCAGAGGCAAAGCAATTAAAAAAGCCTTTAGTGGAAACACAATACAGCTGTCACAGCTGGCTTCATCCCCTTTGGGGGTAAAACCGGGAGCAGGGGGGAGCGTCAGAGCTTTTCCACCGTTTTACAGTGGATAAAGTACGTATAGAAATATTGCGGTAAGTTTGTGAGTGGTGTTTAGGAGGAACTAAACTTAAAACAGATCTAACTCCAGTCTAAAATCAATCTCAAAGCCATGCAGGTGAACAATATTATTTAAGACTTATTTGTCATACGCTTCATATCAGAAGGTTAATTACAGCAGAAATAGCATTTATTTATTAAACCAGGCAAATCCCATTGAGATCACAGATACCTGCTGCAGGAACAGTATGACGCTCCTGCAGTAGGCGCCTCAGGCTGCACTGGAAGGGCTACAGCTAGCTGCTGCTGCTTGTGCTGACAAATAACCATACAATTTTTACTAATTAAAGAATTTACTGTGTAATTTGCGGTGATGCAAAGACTTGTAAATGTCCTCACTTGAACAGCGGTGAATTTCTTTAGATTGGGGCTTTTTAAATCCCTGAAAGGTCCTTTAACTTCTTGAAAATACCACCTTACATAACTGCTTGAAGAATTATTTTCTAATATTTTGGTCTACAACAAAGTAGTTTATTTGTTATCTCAACTTAAAATACAAAATATCAAATTTAAATTACTTTTACTTTAAGGGTCTTTGATACAACAAAATAAAAACTCCACATTTTATTTATTTATTTTTTTAAATGAACAAAATTTTGAATTTATTAGTGCACCGAAAAGGATTTTTGGACAACTTAAAGAAAATTCCAGTCCGGAGTTTTGGGAAGACCCTCCAGCCAGTCCGTCACTGACGCCATGTTTTCGGTCAAGCCAACAGGAGACCGCTGACTACAGCTGGCGTGGATGATCTCCAGCCAGCTTTTTATTGATCTATGTTTTCTACTAAACAATTTCGTGCACAACGCAAGCGAGGTTTTGTACCCTACACCCAGGCTAAAATAATTTGTGGGAAGAGATGAGAGGCAGGACTCTGCAGCGACGTCTAAACGAGAAGACGTTCTGCATCTTGGTGGCATTTTTTTTAAACGGGAGTCTCTGAAATGTAAAAGCAGAGCACCACCCAGTGGGCTGATGTAAAAATAGAAAGTATAGAGATAGAGGTAAAAATTGTTTTTTATTAATTTATTTATTGACAATACCAAAACAAAAAAAAAAAGGTAAAAACATAAAAACAAACAAAAAATAAATGAGTGGTTGATTTTTTTTTTCCATGAGACCCTTCAGGGGTTGATCCAGTTAGCTGTTAGCTTGTCTCGTTAGCCCTGTTTTATCTCGTTTTGGATCTGGTTCTTACCAGGGAGCGATTTGGATCCTGGTTTTTGTACAAGTCCTCGAGCTCTGATGACCTCCACCTCCAGCTGACCCTTTTTCTCCATCATTCCGATCTGGATGTCACCTGAGAGGAAAGGTCGGATAAACACCAAACAAGAAAACGTGAGGAAGACATATACAGGTGGAGACGAAATGGAAAAAAAGAAGAGTCCAGAAGGACCAGTTTCATACCGATGGCAGGAGTGGCCAGAGTCTGTCGGCCCACTAACTGAGCTGGTCCCAGTCCGTCCAGGAAGTCACTGAACTGGCTACTGGCTCCCAGATTCACTCCAGAGAAGATCAAACTACCAGAGACAACACAGAAACAGAAGAATCAGTTCCCGTTCTGCTGACGAGTTTTCTGTCACTCATAAAGACCAGAACAAGAGGAGATGTATGGCTGCATTTAGAGAGGACACGGAGGGAGTTGGAGTGAGGACAGAAGACGCAGAGGACAGAGTGAGACGAAGGACGACGACTTGCTGTAGAGACGGCTGAAGAGGGAACAATCGAATAAAGAAGATAAAGACCAGAACTGTGAGGTCGGAGCAACACAAATGGACTTTTTGTCGGACTCAACTCAACTTGACTCTTCGAATTGACTCAGCTCGATTCACTCGAATCACTCGATTCACTCGATTCGGCTCAACTCGGTTTCGGTAAACCCCTGTGCAGACCCGAGAACAGACATGGGACGTACGGCTCTTTGAAGGGAACCGGATCTTAAAGGAGCTTCATCTTTCAGTCACAACACGCACGGACAAACTCCCCGTTTTCACTCCGCGCCGGGACAAACGCTAAAGGAACGGCTGTGAGCCGTGTGCGACTCGGTTCCTCTGGTTCGTCGTAAAGAGCCGTTCAAAAGATGCGGATCGTTTACAAACATCGCATCTCGTGGTGGTGGGAACGGACCAAAACAAAAGCCTGTCACAAAGAGAGAAGGTGTTTTACTGACTTCCCCTCAGAGTTGCAGCTGTTCATGCTGCCGTTGGTGGACTCTCTGCTGGGCTGCCGGCTCATGTTCCTGGGCAGCTCCACGGCCATGCCGGTCTCCGTGCTCCTCTGGATCGGGGCGCCCTTCTCCTTCTTACTCTTCCCCTCTGGACAGAAGAGAGCAGGACTTCAGTCAACGGATCAAAACAAACGTTTACGGACATCATGACTGAAGTTCGAGGGAAACACGAGGTCCGGCAGAGACACAAAACAAACCGGACCTCCAGCTGAAGAACATTTCTCTCACAGTTCTGATGGACTCATCCGGCACATTTAACCTTCAGAACTGGGTTGAAGATGGAGATCTGGGTTGTTTTGGTGTACAATAAATATGTTTGCATGTATAAATTGTAGAAGAATAAAGTGTGACAGGGAAAGAATATTACTATTATTATAAATAATAAAATTATGGAAATCTTCTGTGACTCATTTCAACTTTAAACGATGGTTCTGCTCTGAAGTCTGAGCTGAAGAGCTCCAAACCCGTTTGTCACTCGCTCATTAAAATCCTGTTTACTGCAGAGTCACAGAGAGACATTTTATCCACCACCAGGGGTGGAGCCACGGGGTGGACAGTGGTGGCCTTGGCTCCCATAGATTAATCTTCGACCACCCTACGGGCCACCTCAGTCATTTGAGGAAACTAGTTTTAAGCAATATGAAAGCTAAAAAACAGTTTTCACAAATGATCCGACATAACTAGTTGACTTCTATCGATGGTGGCAGCCATCTTGGATTTTGCGTGTCAACCCAATTTTCGAAAGGAACTTTTCTTACGTCTAGATGCTGCCGCACACCAAAATGGAAGTCACATACTTTTACGTTATCCAGCTCACAGACGACGTTTCCAAATTACGTCTTCGAACTACGAAGAGGGAGAAAAATCACACCCGAAACAAAAATAAGTTTTCCTTTAAAATGAACTTCAGAGTTTTTATTACGAGTCGAACGTCAGAAGATAAAACTGAGGATCTGCAGCGAGTGAACCAGAGCCGGGTCTGGATTTTAAAAACTGAACTGTAATCCAACTTATGGTCACAAGAAGATCCTCCAGCTGCCCTTGGGTCAAAATCACCCGTGAGAAAATGCCTCGTCTGTCGGCCTTCATCATCATCATCATCATCCTCATCAAACGTTCATGCTGTTGGTTTTGCTTCATTCTGACCCAAGGGCAGCAGGAGGGTGGCGCTGACTCACCGGGGCCGCTGATCTGTGACGTGCTGCGGCTGCGCCGGTTGCCGACGATGGCGACGACGCGTGCGCTGAGGCTGGAGCGCCTCTTCTTGCTGCCCCCGCCCACCGTGCCCAGCGCCGTGTCCGATTGGCTGCCGTCCGTGTGCTCCTGCCCGTAGATCTCGCCGCTCACGCTGGAGCTCTTCATCATGTTGCGGCCCATCGAGGACCTCATGTGCCGGCTGGAGGGAGAGGACGAGAGGGGGTCTCGTTAAGGTCGGGGTCAATAAACCAACGACACGACAGAAAGAAGGAAGAAGAAGCTTCAAGCTCAAACGTCTGAGTGAAAAATATGTATTTTTAAATAATGAGTGAATGAAATAACAAATCTGCAGTTTCACAGAAAATGACCCAAATTCAAAATAAAAAGGCTAAAATAAAGCCATCTTGGACTCTGATCTGAATTTTTGACAGACAGACAAAGGGGATTTTTTTTGGTCCCATGCCAAGAAAAACATCTTGCAGCGACCCCCTATCTGCTCTTATTCACAGGCTGGTTTATATAATTTTGTACATTTTGTAAAACACTGAAAGTCAACATGTGCACGGAACATTCTTCTCCAGCCTAACTCACCAGTTTTAGTCTCCAACACACACAAACACACACACATTTTACCGTTAACAAACGGTTTCAGGGTGCCCGATCATCAACAAACTACCGGTGTTTTTCTACCCTTGAAGAGTTCCAGGACCAGAGCTCATCAAAAACACGTCCAACTGATCGAACCTCGTTTCTCCATGCTCCATAAACAAACTGACACTGAAAGCTCAAGGTCACCCCTCGAATTAAATCAGTTTCATTTCAGCTTTTTTGTAAAAATGAGTTTAAAGTTTTAATTCTTCCTGAATTTCAGCTTCTTTAATATAATTTTGGCATCATTAAGTGATTGTTCGGAGGAAGCGTCATTTAAAAAAAAAATTGAAAATATTTCTCGTCCTTTCTGCTAAATTTGTGGAACAGTTATAGAAATTCTCCTGTGCAGAATATCTGGGCTGAATGGATCTCTGATTGACCTTTGACCTTTTCGGTTCTGATCTCGTTGCACAAAGCTGGAATTAAAAATCTGCCATGTCCTGAACCGTTTCCTGTTCTGTTTCTCAGCGGGAAAAAAGTGTAAAAAACAGAAAAATTAACTTTTTGTGTTGAATTTAGAGAATTTATTTGTAAACAAGAAGCTGAAGTGATTAAATTCAATATCACTGGAATATTTTTATCACAAATTAAGATTAAATCGCCTCAAACGAGCCCCCACACGAGCGTAGAAGCCCCCCAGAAACTGATACTGCGCCCTCGTGTTTCGGAGGAGGCGCCGCGTGTCCGCCCCCGCAAAGGAGGGCGCCGTGCTGCAGGACAGTCCGGCTACGCTGCCCCCGAAACCCACGGATCCAGCTTCCTGTGGGTCCCCCACAGCTACGGTCCAGAGAACTGGAGGAGGAACCATGGAGTTGGTGGAGAGCGGGAGGTGGGTCTGTGGCCGCTCCACTGCCCCCTGTGGGGGGGTTAGGGAACGTCGGGGAAACGATGGAGGATCCAGGTCTGAAGTATGAGTGGGGTCCGGGCAGTCACAACACAGGAGGCGTGCAAGGAGGGATCTGAGACATGCAGGGAGGGGGGACATCACATAAACACATCTTTACGAAGAAATAAAAATAAATTACAAACACATACACAAAAAATACTTTGAAAAATCTTCAAGGAGCCGAATTAAAGAAAATGACCCAGAATTACCTGGAAACAGTTTTTAAAAAAGGTGAACACCTGAGAAGGTCTGTGGACCCCCCAGACCACCAGACCCTTCAGATCCGGTTGTCCAGAATGAGTTTAACGTCCTGTCGCTCGGTGGCTCAACATGGAGCGTTTTTAAACCATTTAAGAATAAACAATTTTAACTCTACATGAGCACAACACCATGTCCTGCTCCGGCTGAAGCTAACGGCTGTCAGCCGCTAACGACGTCCTGCTTCGACTGA